CATTAAATTGATGTGTTTTTCATTTCATTTTCCACTGTCTATTTCTCATATATGCAAAAGCCATTGGCTTGCAGATCAATCATCCCACATTCACCTTGCTAGGGAAAGTTACCATACAATGATTCATAATTTCTACATAAACAATTATGTTATCTTCAGACAATGATAGTTGTATTTCTCTCTCTCTCTCTCTCTCTCTCTCTCTCTCTCTCTCTCTCTCTCTCTCTCTCTCATGTTTTACCTACACTTCTGTTTCTGTATTAGCTAAGTCTTCAAATACAAAGCTGAAAATGTGTGAAGAAAGGAGATTCTGTTACCTTCTGCATGATTTAATACAAAATCTGCTTTCTCACAATTAAATATGATGCTAACTTCAGTATTTTGGTACATTGATTATTCTGATCCTGAAGGTTCTCTGTATCTAATTTCCTGTGAGTGTTCATGATGAATGGCTGTGGGACACTGACAAATGTTAACTATTCATGAAAAACTGTCTCAGTTATGTGTTTTATTTTAATCTTGTTACTATCATCAATAAAGTATAGTTCTAAATATTTAATAGGATTTGCATGACTGACTAAATTCTGCTCTTTCAGAAGGTGTTCTTGTCATTTTATAATACATTCTCATGGCTAACAGCAGGATATGGTCTGAAGAAATCATATTTAGTACATGTTTTTCATGGTGTTAACACCATAGAATACTTAGTAAGGACTCGTGAATATGATGTCACAGATTACTTGCCCTTCAGAACTGTCTCTACAGTTTGCAGGAATGATATTTTTGTAGATTTTGCAGCTGTGTTCATGGGAGGTTTTAGCCTATAGTTTACTTCATCTAATTTCTTTGTCTTGATTCACAGTTAGGTGATGTTGGCCTTACAACATGACTTGGTTACACAATCCATTTTCTAGACCTGAGTGTGCAAGTAGTTGAAAGGCTGTACTCAATTTCTTCCTCTAACTGAGCAGAGTCTTTTGCTTTGCTTTTGTTTTTTGTTTTTGAGACAAGATCTCTCTATAGAGCCTAGGCTGTACTGGAACTCCCTATGTAGACCTGGTTGGTCTTGAACTTACAGATATCCAACTTCCTCCAACTCAAAAGTGTTGGATTTAAAGAGATTTGCCACTGCAACTAGCAACCGAGCAGACTTCAGGAGAATACATTTGTCCATACCATCAATACACCACCTCACTCTGTCCTCATGAAAAAAGTTACCTGGACCTGTCATTTTTTCATCTGAATCTTGTAGGCACATGGAGGGAGGAGATATGTCCTGGTTCTGAAACATGGTGCCTAGGATGAATCTAGAAATTGATACTCTGATAGTTACTACATTGGAGGTCAATGGAAGGTGTACAAGGAGCTAGGATGCCACGTGACACCACACAGCACAGATGCACTAAGGTACTTTCCACTCTGTACACAACACTAGTTTACAAAAAGTCATGCAATGTGGTGAGGGAAACAGGTTGCTGATGCAAGTGTGAGCAGAATCTATTATATCTGACTCAGGAAATGAATTGTTGTCCTAACTTCAACCATTACCAATACATAGTAACACTTCAGACACTTCTGCATGAAGCTGTTCGAGGAGGAATAATCAACACCAAGGTGAACCAGAAGAGAAAGAGTTGGATGTATCCAGTAAAGATCCCCAGTATCTGTGAAATTATAGACTCCCCTCATATACCCAACCAGCAAACTACATGCTGGCATCAGGGAATGGAATTGAACATGTCAGGAGTCTCAAACATTGCTTCCATGTGTTGTCCTCTGAGAGGGTAGCATCAGGTTCTGATGTCACTTAGACTCATTTGTGGTGGTATTCTAATTGTACTGAAGTGTGATTTTGATTGTATGTTAATAAATAAAGTCGCCTGGGGGTCAGAGCTATTAGAGCCATAGACAGAGTATGGCGGTGGTGGCACACGCCTTTAATCCCATAGATCTCTGTGTGTTCAGGGATACAGCCAGCATTGGAGACATA